GCCACGCTAGACGGCGGATATATATTATTTAATTATAATAAAGTTACAATAAGTTAATATATAATTATATATACAGTACCTAATTTATATATAATTAATATATAATTATATGTACAGTACCTAATTTATATATAATTTATATATAATACTGTACAGACGATAGCAAACTCAATTTAGCCGCTCCGTAGCGTGGCGCAAAGTCGGAGGAAAGTAGTTCGGCTGCTCATCCGCTATTGGTCCAGATTCTATCAATCTTGTCACGAAACGACGTTATAAGAGGTACTTTATACGAATGTTGCTACAATTTTTTCGCTACGTTATAGGAATTGTCGTTATAGGAACGCAAGTTATAAGGGGATCGACTATACCTCAATTCTCTATTGATCATCGATAAGTCGTCGTTCTATTGTCTTGACGACGATTTGCCGTCAAAGGAATGGCAAGTGTCTTCTTCGAGACTTCGTATTTCCCTTTTTCGGCAGACGTCCACTTTTATGGGAACACTTATGACCAAACTTTTATTCATTGGAACATGACAAACGCCCAGACCTGTCCTTTTATGGGTTTAGCCTGGGAAAGTGGTCAGGTGATCGGCAGTTGTTCAAATCGAAGGTTTCTTTTGCAGGTGCGAGTACAACGATGAGTTTCGTCGATGTAACGGTGTCGCTTTCCTCTCCTTTCACAATCGGATGTTATCATTCATCAACTGACTGTTAAAATTCTCATCCATTTGTTGATAGAGAACGTCATTGGATCCGTATCTGGTGCGATGTTTTTTTTAACTATCGCGACAGATGTTATTTAAAAATTTTCTTAAAAACGGATTTTAGTATCCCTAAAACCATGGATTTCACATTTATTTCTATTTAGATTGTATACTTAGTCTGAAAATAAGGTGAGTACATAAGCAATAATACACGTAAAAGAATTTACTGTGAAATTAAAATTTTCGTATATAATCTTAATTTCACAAAGTCTTGTAAATAAAAACAGATAAACTAACTAAATTATCAATTTATTAATACTTACTTTATTAAATTCGGCTTTACAAACAGCTCTTGTCCGAATGATTCCTTAAATCAAGGTTTTCTCTCTATTTCTAAAGCATTGAATTTATTGGAAATTAAACATATAATGAAGACTGCGTTTGGTTATTCGTTGATTTTTAACAATTTCCGGCAATTTTTTTGTCGGTAGCTTTTGGGGACCTTACGTTTTCTATGTTTTAGTTTAAAATTTCCCGAACGGAACTTTTTAATTCACATTTGACGTTAAAAATTTACGATCGTCTTCCCCAATTTTTTCTTACTGTTTGCACAGTGTTGTATCCTTTTTGGAACTCATTATGCATAATATTATGCTCGCTATACTTCTTATTCAAAGACATCACTTCACATTTTGTTTGAACAAAGACTTTAAAAGTAAGTTTCTAAATAAAGAATAAAATTTCACACTATTTATAATATGTTAAATTTCACAACAGTTATATTTAAATCCTACATCAACATTAAAATGCGAAAGTGCAAGGTGTGTGACCAATACGTGCAATCTTTGCTTTATTATACAGTATTAACGTATTTTATTTATAGTTTACATGTTTTAATTTATTTCTAGAACATAGCGTATCGCGATAGATTTGAGGCGGAGCCGGAAAGAAACGAGCGATCTTTGCACCCGTTAGGCATTGAAGAAACGATCATGGCGCAAAACCTTGGCCTGTCCTGTACCGCCACAAAAAAGGAATACTTGTGTTTTGTTCGTTTCTCGACCTTATTTTCCGTTCGGCGCAGGCAATGCTGTTTTTATTTTTGACCCCTAGACCTAAATTTTGTCGGCACGCTCAGTTGCATCAGAGAGCACGGACATCGTCACTTTCATACTTCTGTATATCGAAAACGAAATCACGGACTGCTATTTATTCACATTTTTGACTTACTCATCGCAATTAATGGAAAATGGCAAAGTTCAATCAAAATCGATCGAACAGATTTTCAGAACGAACACAATTCTGTAAGCCACATAAAAAAGCTTTAATGACGCTCCACCTCAATTAGGGAATTAAATTGTGTTATTTTTGCCTTTAATTATGAGCATTTGTTATTATAAGTTTACCGAAGTAGATATTTTTGGGGGTCTGGAATACATTAATTGACTGTCCATTATTTCTAATACAAAAATCGATTTGGGGTTCGAATCAACTCCCGGAATGAATTAAATTCAAAGTAAGAGGCACCGCTGTACTTATAATTATCCAGACATTTTCAATTTCGTGTTAGCAACTGTTTAAATCTGTTTGGATCGGCGTTTGAGTAGTGTCTGTTGTTTCCAGTTTGGACAGCATGGAAAGTAATAAGTGTCCTTCTGTAATTCTATCGGAATTAAAAAAGTATCGAAAAGTCGATTCGTAGTAGTATTCTACAATTCAAAATATAATAACACATTAGCATAATGCTTATTTATATTTACAAATTTCTTAATTGTTTAATATCTTAACCATTCGCTCATTCCAGCAACTACCAAAGGAAGCTATGTGTGGACAATCGCTGCTACTAAAGTAATTCTTATTTATTATGTTAATCATTATTTAAATTAATTAATTTTAAATAATTGCATTATCATCATCTTTTATCAGCAAAATTTTTACGGAAAGAGTTATTACCGCGAGGTGTTAGCAACTGATCCTGTGTTTAGCATAATTCAACAAAAATTAAAATTCAGGTAAACTTTTTTAAGTATTGAAAATTTTTTAAATTTATTAAAACATTTTAAATTCTTGAAATAAATTACATTAAAAAATGAAAAAAGACAAACACAAAGTAAATGATTTGTTTTATTTTTTTCTAAATTCCCCTTTCTCTTTTCAATTCTTTCATCAAACTTATTAATTAATTTAATTTCATATAAGTTAGTGTATTAAAATTGCTTTAAAACACTCTTTTATAAAATTGCTTATAATAAAAATATAATTGATTGGTTTTACAAGTAATCAATATTATCTTATTATTATTATTGTGTTGGGTTTAGTGGGTAATACTCGGCTTAAACCGGTGGCTGTGTACTATGCCGGACTAGAGTCAAGGCAAAGCAACCAAAACAAATTAAATAAGTGTGTCAGTGTCTGTATTCAGGAATTTCCTAACAATGTGGCATGTATTCAATATAGTGGCCTTCTGTAGTGTTATGTATGTTTCTACTCAATTCTAATGTTCCCAGGCTTTTGTGTAGCGTGTGTGGTATCACACCTGTACAGGAGAGAACAACAGGTACAATAAGCACCCTATCCATCCTCCACAGATGCCTTATTTCCTGGGCGAGTTCTGTGTACTTGCTAATTTTTTCAGTGCATGTGTTTTGTACATTGTGAGTGTTTGGAATGGCTATGTCTATAATGTATGTGATTTTATTGTGTTTGTCAATGAGTGTGATGTCTGGTCTGTTGTGGTAAATTGTTTTATCTGTGATTATGGCTCTGTCGTAATACATTTTGTGCGTGTTATTTTCCAATACTGTCTGTGGAATATACTTGTAGTATGGTTCGTGGATGTCTGCCAATTTGTGTTTCTTTGCAAGCTCTTGGTGTATTATATTTGCTACTTGATTATGTCTATGTAAGTAATCTGTCTGTGCCAAGAGCTTGCAACCAGAAGTGATGTGTTGTATAGTTTCTGGCATGATGTGACATTTTCTGCATGTGTCATTTGTGAGTGTTGTATCTTTGAGTATGTGTATTATTATTATTATTATTATTATTATTAGTAGTAGTAGTAGTAGTAATCAATATTATCTTATTATCCCCCTTATACCGATAAAAAATATTTTCAGATATAACTTTGCAGAATTACGAGACTACGAACTGGACAATAGAAATGGCAGTCTTCGTGGATCATTTGGTCAAATTGCAAACAACGTAACTATAATTTTAATGTATATTTCCATGGTGCAAAATATTCTTAATTTCGATGAAGAAAGTCTCCGAACATTAATTATAATCGAATTAAAAGTATAAATACGAAATACCTAGTCATATTTTCTAAATTACGGTAAAATGCAATATAAGTAAGAAATGAAATTTGCTATCGTAACGAATCGATAAGACGAATTTCTCGCGAAAAAATGTTAATTTACAAGTTTCTGTCGAGAAAACATTAAAAGTAAAAGCATTTTAATTTATAAAATACAGAAGTCGAGTAACAAATATTTTGTTGTAATGTTAATGCGCCTATTTCATTTTTTAAAACGTATTCTTTTGCGTTTTACTCGGTATCAACTACGTTATTTGGCAGATAAAATTTAACAAATTTTAAAAATTTTGAAATATGAACGTAAAAAGATCTATAATTCATTTGCAATACATTTATTAATAAATGATTTTACTTAGTTCCGGGCTTAATCCGTTATTAATTGCATAAATGGATTTATAGAATCTTGATTTCGTTATACAAGTATTTCATTCTTTCCAAAAACCATGTCACATTTCATGCCTATCACCACATTCAAAGGTGGAAAAATTTATTTAATTATGAAATTATTCAAATTAATTATAAGATTTCAAAATATGCAACGAGTGAAAGTTTTCCTAATAAAATATACGAATGTCGTTAATAATATTTCCACTTATATCTTCTTTTTAATATTTAATCTGTCATCTAAATATATAAAATTACTTGTCCCGACTGACTGACTGAGTCACTGATTCATCATCGCCCAGAGCAAACCGCTGAACCTAAACAGGTGAAATTTGGTACACAGTTAGGGTATCTGTGGTGACTGAAAAAGAAGTTTATGTTATAAAGATATTTTTATTTAAATTCGAAATGACATTAATATAGATTTTTACTTGTTTCGCAATTGTCGGTTTGTCTTGAAAATTTTCAGTTTTATTTTTGGAACATTGTGATAATAATTCATCATTAAGAGAAAGCGACGTGCAAGGTTTACAGGCGCAGATGCAGTTTCTTTGCGTTTTTGCGGGAAATCGAACATAATATTAGACCCATCTAAAAATTTTCTAATTAGTTTGGAAACACGGGGACCTAAGTTTTGCATTCTGTGAAAACGGGTAAGATTGGCTATAATGTAATTATCTTAATCTTCGTTATCGTTACTTTTTGCCCGAGCAACGCTGCTAGTATTTAATCTGTCATATATACATTCAAAAGTCTGCTTCGCACAAACGATATTATAAATCTATGGTTCCCAGTCTACAGTCTAAGGCCAAATTCGGCTCACAAACTTATTTGTCGCATCATCTATAAATGATAGAAATAGGCCTGTCTACTTTTTGTACAATTTGTAAGAGGAAGCGGGCCGCAATTATTTTGTATATGAAATATGCAAAATCATTTTGGTCCGTCTACCTAAGACACACGTGCGATTTAATCCGCTGACCGAAAAGTTTGAGTACAGTTGTAAATTTTAGTAGGTAAACAATTTCAGCCATTACATTGCGCTGTTTTCAGAGATGGGAGCTTCTTCTGTAGACAGAGCGCTCCGTGTCTTATTTCATTATGCAAACAACTGTCTGTAACTATTAATCAGCTTCGTGAATATTTTATACCCTTACTGTTAACTTACTCTGCACAAATTTTAGCCTAACTAATTAATGCTAAACAACTGTTATTTCAACGTACAAAAAGAGAAATCTTCACTCATAATCTGTACATTAAAAAATAATCTGTTATTTACACAAAACTGAATATATGACAACATAATTTATTATTAATAGCAAGCAGATATTTCACTTATACCTCACCTCATCACGTCCGATCTGTTCCCTAAGGCAGACTTTTCTACTATAGTTAAATTTGACAGCTATTCTTTCATTATTCAAGAAGGAGAATCGACAGTAAACTGGAAGTCCATTTTTCAACCGTTTTCTATCCAAGTAAGTGATATATTCGCTTATGATTACAACAATATTGTAACGAAATTATTTACTTGTCCTATTTTATATAAAAGGTGTGGATTACAATATTCATCTCGACAGTGGTAGCCGGATTAGTCTTTCTGAGAATAATCAATTATAATCGTGGGTATAACAAAAAAAAAAACTTATGGACTCACAAAACGATGTGCTGGTTTCTCTTCTCAACTCTCACAAATCAAGGTATTGTTCGAGCTTACACATTAACTTCTATAATCGGTTTTATAATCATTTGTTTTTATCAGGAACCAATCTCAACACAATAAGACGACCACTTTCGAGAATACTGATCGGAATCTGGTTAATCTCAGCATTTATCTTAGCTTCGAGTTACAGTGGCTGTTTAATGTCCTTTCTTACAGCACCCGAATATGAAAGTATGCCCACCAATTTTTACGAATTAGCAACTGCTGTAAAAGAAGAAAGTGTGTCTTGTGGCATATTACGAAATGGTTTTGCTCATATATATCTAGCGGTAAATATAATTTTATACGTACAAATACTTGTATACAGACGGATTCAGTTGTGTGTTTTATTTTGGATAGATGTAATATATACATTGAATTATACTAACACAGCCACATAGAGTACCTGAAATGGGGTAAAAATTAATTGGAATAGTTTCTCTCATCTCGATCAACATATTCTCTTTGACCCGCACAAAAATCAATAAATTTACACAAGGTTTAAGTTGAATGTACCAATATATTTTACGAAATTATTACAAAAGTTGCTTCTAGTCCTTGGTATAATTAAATAAAATGGGTGTGATAAACCCTTACTAATATCTGCCTCACGGTTGTTGATAATTTAATTAATTTAATATATTTAGTTAGCGTTATTAAATTTATCAGCATTAAATGCCTTTAAAATAACTTTTTGTTGCGAAGATCACTATCGTGTTGATCTACATACGGGAAAGTGGGCAAAATTGTTTATCTGCACGAACTATTATCCTCGGAGTTACACACAAAATCTACTATATGTTGATCTTTTATTTGATTTCTTGTTGAATGTTTCATAGAAAATACTTTTAAGAAATCATTTTCTAAATCTACAAAACATAAAACCAAAAATCAAGATTTTCAACAATATACTTTCTGATTAAAAGAAAGATTTTACAAAGAATTATAAAAATGAAGTAAGAATTACTAACATATGAATATTAATTGAAAATGAAAAATATGTAGGCCTAATTTATTATAAGAAATTAGATTAGAAGCCGTATAATATATTTTTGAATTGACAGACTATTTCCTAATCACATAGAAATTGAAAAACTCATTATATGAGATATATGTATTCTCTATTAAGTTAATTAATCCAAATATGAAGAGCGTGCAAAGTAAACGAGAAATTACAAATCCACTGATTTCTGAATGTTGAATTTTTGAATCATAAAAAATCTATTGAAAAACATCTGTTACAATAGTCTTACTGTCTTATTTATTCAGTAGAAGTAGACTTCTTATGGTGAAACAGAAAAACAGTTGAAAACGTTCAGTTAGTTTAGTTTCTTGGTACAAAGATCATTCTGGTGATCATGCTACGCCGTGAGCCAAGGATAAATAAATAACGTTGAGAGTAAAATATAAAACAACTGCTGCACAAAATAAACAAACAAGTGTAAATAGTGTAACTATTTACTATAATAGATGTTAAATTACATTAAGTGCACATATTGGACGATCTTTACGCTTGGGTAAGAAGTCACGATTCAGCCAAGTGCGTCAGATTCTTTCGTGTAAGAATAACTTAAGAGCTAGAAGCATGCAATTTAATATCTAATGTTTACCATTATTGATTATTTCGTTATGATTGTCAGTTTCACACGACATTCATACAAATGATTTTCTTACTTAAAAAAAAATAGATCCAGATTTCATAATCACTCCGCGTGTGCATACAGTACATACATATACATATAATTATTATTACATTAACATCCAAACCTTCAACATTATTGAGGAGTGGTAAAATCTGAGTCACGCATTTTTGTCATACACTTCCTATAACGCAAATTTCTCTAATGATCTTCGAACACAGATGTTACTGATATCAAAAGTAATAATAGCGTAAGTTTACGTGATGAAATCAAAAGTCTAGACAGGTGCAACAGGTGCACAGACGCAAGGTCCGAGACTAAGGGGACCTAAGAAAAAGCAACTGATAAAAGTTGCAAAATAACTAAAATTTTTACAATTTCATAATGAACTCAGGATATTTTTCTTCTAATTTTCAATTATAAATTCAGACTATGTACAAAAAATTATTTAATTTTTGAGTCTATCAATTCATCCTTTTTCATACACCATAGAAGTAGCCTTTACATTGGTTTGAAGAAATCACTTCATAAAAACGTATAACAATAGGTAAAAATTTACAATTAAAAACGATCAGACGTCAGCCTTTCATTTTAGGTATCTGACGCCTTAACATTAAAAATTAAGTAAATCTTCTCACCAACTTGGCAGTTGGTGAGAAGATTTACTTAAGATTTACTGGTTCAAGCCCTCTAGTGGTGGATATCCACCACTAGAGGGCTTGAACCTGATACTGATGGTATAAAACTTGGCAGTTGGTGAGAAGATTTACTTAATTTTTAATGTTAAGGCGTCAGATACCTAAAATGAAAGGCTGACGTCTGATCGTTTTTAATTGTAAATTTTTACCTATTGTTATACGTTTTTATGAAGTGATTTCTTCAAACCAATGTAAAGGCTACTTCTATGGTGTATGAAAAAAAGGATGAATTGATAGACTCAAAAATTAAATAATTTTTTGTACATAGTCTGAATCTCTAATTGAAAATTAGAAAAATAAACTAAAATTTTTGTTTATAAACACATGAGAACGATCTTGTTATTTCTCGTGTGAACGCAAATTATTATTTTAGAAAGAAATGAAAAGACAAAAAATCAAACGTTGCACAGACAGACAAGAAGCTAGTTACAACACTAGAGTGGTCTGCATTACGTACAGCATCGAGTACTGATGAGTAATCAGTGCTTTTTGACGTATATAATATAGAACAACGCAGCCGAGGGCTAGTATAACTTTTACGAGATTCTTTATCTTTACAGTCCTATTAGCTACGACAACTGTCGTACGGATCTCCACACATGGCAAACATGCGATTAAATGTTCGTATCTCAGAAATAGTAAAGAGATTTTCAGTCACGGAAAGAACTAACACCCGGAAGAACATTGTTAAAGACACTTCGAGTCAATTATTAAATAAAGTTCAAAATCTCAAAATGATAAAAAAAAGTTTAGCAGCTACGTAATGTCAAATGTAAACCCTGGAACCCCATCGACCGATTAATTCACTTAAGTGCTATCTACGTTGTTTAAAAGTATTTATTATTATTAATTTGCTCCGCATTGTTTTAAATTACATTTTGACTTATCGTCGATTGAACTTTAAAGATTATTATTATTTAAACATGACAATATCAAAACCGTCCTTAAGCAAAATCTAACACGGTCATTTTTATTTGATATATAATTAAAAAAAACAACTATACACATCGTCCGATCGTAATTTTCCATTAACAATTGAGGATATCAGTACTGTAAATATACATATATACATTAATAAATATAATGAGATATTTATGCAGAAAAAGTTAATCTCACTATGTCTTATTTATGTTTTTCAGGAGTTTCGTAACAGAGAATATACGAAAGTATTAAGCAATCATATTTTTTCAAAAAATAATCTTTTTGAATCATTTCATTCGAAATCGGTCACAGAAACACTCTACAAAGGTCATTTTGCATTTGTGCACGATAAAAATGCAATTAAAACAAAAAGAAGTATTTTAAAAGGAAAATGGATTATATCAGAAGACACGTTGTTTACAGTTTATCGAGCTTTTGCAATGAGGAAAGGCTTCCGATATAAAACCCACGTTAACAAAATGTATGAATTTTGTGTGGTTCAACGTAAGTAAAACTGATTTTTTCCTCAATTTTTATAAGAAATTTTAATTGTTTTGCAGAATATCTCGTTTAATTGAAGCCGGGATCACAGAACGTGTTTATGGACCAGAAGACACTATACACAGCGAAACTGATTCGACAACTTTTTCATCTTTAACTGCTGAAAAATTCATAGGAACATTTGCACTTCTAATTCTAGGCTGTACTTTATCTATTATTTCCTTTGTTATAGAATATGCAATTAAGAAATGAAGATATGTTACCAATTTAATTTTCAATATATCACAGAATTAATATTCTTAGATGATAGTTTAATTATTAGCTAAATATTTTATGATAATCTAATTATCATCAAATATTGAAAATTATAACAGCTTTTAAATAAAATTAATGACCTAAAAATATTATCAATTAAATCATAAATAATAATCAACAGCTATACTCTACTCTTCCACTAGAAACCAGTTCCTCAAATTTACAACCAATCCGCAATTTCTTTCATGATGCCTTTCGTATTTCTGTTATATGTGAACTTTGTCATCTTACTGAGATCATTGTTTGAGGCCTTTGCTGTGCCAATCTCGCAGCTTCTAATCATTCCTGTTATGCCTATTTTGTATTGTAGAGCTTCAGCCACATGCAAAATTCTGTCCATTTCTCTTTTTCTGTCCACAACACTACTACAATATAGAATAGCCTTTCTAATTAGAGCTTGGAATGCTGCAGGTTATACCGGTAAAAATCATTCGATTGCAAGATGTAAAGTGATAATTTTTCTGTTATTTTTGGATTTAAACGTATGTAATGTATTTTGGAACACCAATATTCTAATGTTCTTGTTTAACCTAAAGATGGCCTATAGAATGGGCTGAAAAGGTTAGTATACTTTTACAGTAATAAATTATCTTGGCAACTTAAGGTGTATTTTGATGGTCTAATAATTATTTGCCGAGTGTGTTCTGTTAATTGTTATGCCACATTTCACCATACTATATCCAATAATGTCTTTCCTGTAGGATTTTTTAAATGCTTTACCATTTTTCAACTTTGGCAGATTAAAAACACTAATTATTAATTAGTCTTCACTATGACAGATGAAATAAAATCCTTCCACTGTGCAAATGATGTAGTTCGGCACACGCCTGGCTACCATACACGTTTTGTGCCCTTCAACGCCACCAGATTAGAAACGTCTCGTGAAAATCAATTTATAAGTTCAGCATTCTGATGAACTTACTTCCAGCCTGTTCGAGTTCCACGTCAAAAACGCATGTCGTCTCTATATACCAGCGTGCAACTGGCTTTTTCATTCAAACATTTTTAGACAGACCCTCGGCTGTTGGCAAACCGGAAGCACTCGTTTGTGCGTTCCACGCCATAGGTTGCAGAAGTGAAAGAAGCCACGACACCTCTGTGTATCATCGAAGAGCACGAAAGACGGCTGTTTACGTAGTCGGAGTGCAGAGTGCGTAGTGAGTGGCATCTCTGGTCACCAATGTTCCCTCTAATTTCTTTTGTAGATGAGCAGAACATATACTTCTCTGAGCAAAAAACTTTCTGCTAAGCAGATTGAGCAAAAAATTTTTCTGAGAATATATATAAAATCTTATTTTTTCCTATAAAAATTAAAATAATTAATTATAAAGTAGAGATTAAAATTCATTTTAAAACATACTTTTATACGAAATATTATCTCTTGTCAATGATTTAATGTATTTAATCGAAATATACGCAGCAATAATCATGTTGCGGACAGAGTGAGAAATAAGTAAACAATTCAAATCGGTGTGCATGCTCGCCTGCGCGGCCGCGCAGCTTAGAGGGAACATTGCTGGTCACTGGTTAACAATTTCATAAATTGTCGAATGGCTTCTAATTTTACAATAAAAACGAAAAATTTGTAGACCAGAAGAGGCGAAAAGAGTGCACGTCACACGCGTTTTCCATGCTTGATACTTCGACCGTTCTTGGTCGTCTGGTCTGGAAAAAGAGCCGTCCCAAATAAAAAGGCGAAAGGAAGACAGAAAATAATTAACTTGGAAAAATATCAATATTTTTTTTTAATATAAAAAAGGTGTAATCTAACGATACAAATGATGGCGTTAAGTACATTCTTACAAAAGTTCGAAATGCTCACAGTATTCTATACATACGTCACTGGAACGTTGGCTCTGCCAGCATAATCCGAGCAGCTGGTCTGCTGTAAGGGTGAATACTGTACCAGAACGGCGTCTCCTGCGACGTTTATCAGACACTGACCCTGTAAAATAGATAAAGGTTAATTTGTCGAGAGATCTTCGTTGCAAACAACGTCCAACAACCATTTCTTACTTGCTGGCTTTCTGTAATGACCCAGTGATCCCAACAATAATGAAACGGAAAGATACGGACAAGAAGAAATTGCTGTGTTTTTCGAAATCTTTTACAGCTCAGAACATTACCACCTCAACTAAGGCAAAGCATTTTAATGGAAAAAATGAAGATTTGGCACACACTGACTCGTGTGGATTTGCCACCAGAATGCCCAATTTTTTGCATCTGCCTTCTTTAATCGTTGATTCGCGGACGTTGTTTCTTTTTAATTCCTGCTGATTTTAGTACGTCTGATGACCAAGAATTTCTAAAAAAAACTCAGTGTAAAACCCATTTGCTTCTTACCGAATTGTTTGTTTGCCGCTTTGAAAAATACTGTATATATATTGTACAGAAGAAATGTGCCCAGTGGGGAAAGCGGCATGAGGATGTAGACTCGCCGACGAAACCCACACCAAATATTTCCTTGTGCCACATAATCTAATAAATAAAAATGCACAAATCATTATATTCTGAACACTACGTCCCACACCCATTAATATTTTGAATCTTAAATGTAACACTTTAACGCAAAAATTATAAGTTATTAGAAAAACTTAATTTATTTTACTAGAAATGAATTTTTGAAGAGTTTCAGTTAGGATGAACGGATTTTCTTTGTCATTTTCTAGCTTAATTCTGAAACAAATCGAAGTCGTAACCAAACGGAGATGGATGGAAAGGTGTAGATTCTGTTTTGTTTTAAACACCGCTGAAATAGCTAGTCACTAGCACATTCAGTTATATTCCTACTTCTTACATTGACATGCAAGTAAAAAACAAATTTGCATTCTCTGGCAAGACAGCCGGGACCACGACACTACTGGTAGGCTTACCTACACCTTTATCCCCAGGGTTGACACTAATCTGACTCTTTTACACTTTTCCCTACCTTCATCCTCACTCAGCTTCTTACAGGCCATGGCAACTTCAAACACTATCTGCATAGGTTGAACCTTGGGGAGTTTGTGCTGTGAATGCAGACCGTATTAGAACCAAATGCCTATCCACTTAATTTTCCATTGCGATAGGTACATGAACATTAGGGATAGCTTGATGAGAGCAGCAATTTTGGAGGGATGCAACTGACCTTGCACACCACAGCAACTAATCCAGAATGTACCATCATTTGCATTGCTTTCATTGATATCCCATAGCAAAACCCTTGTGGTCTCTCTCCCCAATGGCACTGTACAGGTTTCCTCGTTCTGTTAAAGTTACTTGCACTGCTAGTTCTTTTGTGTCGTGTCTGTTGTTTCTTTGTAGTTATTTGGGTTCTAATTTTATACATCTTCCAATGCTATGCATGTTGTCTTTACTTTCATTAAAAAATTGGTGTCTTGCTTGTGGGACTTTCTCATTGCATGCTCAAGTCTGTTGGGTTGTTGTCCATGTCAATATTTTTGTTAATAATAAGTTACAACTAGTTAAATAAGTTATCAGTATATTTGCTGTTTTCCTAGCAATTTCTGTTCATAGAGGGTCTGTATTCTGCTGAAAGGGATCCTTCCATTCTCTTTGTTCTATCTCCTTCCCCTCCTTTTCCCTTCCCTTTTTCTGCCAGCTAAACACCTTGTGAACCATGTGAATTGCCTTTTGTTAAATAAATAAATAAAACAGGTCATCAATTATCAAATTAGAAACATCCAGTGGTGATATTCAGCGGGTTCGCACAGTGGTGATATCCAGCGGGTTAACAAAATGTTAACAACGGGCCGAACCCGTTGTTAACATTTTCAAAGTTTTCCGAACCCGTTGTTAAACACACGTAACATTTCTCAGTGATTTTGTTTCTTTTAAAAAATATATTAAAATACAGTATACGTATAATACTCTGTAACACCACTAAACTAGAGCCTTATACCCCGTTCGCACACAATACACGACTCACTTCAATCTCGATTTACCCACAATCTGGATTGTGACTGTCGCCAGTGGAACGTCGTGCTGTTCGCACAGGTAACTCGCTTGAGAAGAACCCGGCTATTACACGCGATGATAAAATTGATATAACTACGCGATAAGTCACGAACACCAACAAACAAAATGGAAGTTTTGGTTAGAAATAAATACTTTTTCTTGCCGTATATCTAATAATAGACAGATGTCATCCTCTCCAGATGTCTTTTTTATTTTTCTGTCAATAGCCGGACGTGTTCAGCAGCCATCTTGTATTTCCTCGCGCGCGTGGGATTGTGGGATCTCTCTTATGACTGAATCTAGTTTCAAGAACTCTCTCCAGTCGATCGCGATTTAGCCTCGTTTCAGTCGAGATTGAAACGGTCGAGAGCGTTCGCACCACGGAACTCTCTCTCCGACCTTAGTCACAATCTAGATCGAAATGCTCGGTGCGAACGGGGTATTATACCCTGTTCGCCTAATGTAACCACCATCGACCGTTTCAATCTCGACTAAAACGAGGTTCACTCGCGATCGACTCGAGAGAGTTCTCGAAACTAGATCCAGTCATAAGAGAGATCCCACAATCCCACGCGCGCGAGAAAATACAAGATGGCTGCGGAGCATGTGTCGGGCTATCAACAGCGAAATAAAAAAGATATTGTATTTTGAGAGACGATGACATCTGTCTATTATTATAATAATACCTAATGATAAAATAAATGATTTAGAAAAGTTTTTTCTTGAGAAAAAGTCATAAGGAAAGCAGTTAAACCTGCTTTTCCTATGACTTTTTCTGATTAAAAAAATGCCAATTTTTATGTTTATAAAATATTATGAATGAAAAATATTAAAATATGTACAAAATAACCATTTTGAACACACTTTTTTATTATTTATCAAAAAAAATATAGTTCTGGCATAAACAATGTTAAATTTTAACTGACTTAATTTTGCGAACGCATCTTTTTTATTTATATGGATGTCTTAAGGTCAGTTTTTGCGCTAATGTTGCTAATGCACCATTTGAGTGAAAAAAAAATTGTTAAGCAAAACTTTTCTGTTAGCGAACCCTTTGTTAAATATTTCGAATATCACCACTGGAAACATCCAAACTTCCTTTCAGAGTTCATATCATCTCTGCAGAACCAGATGGCAGGTTGCCTGATAAACCTCCAATTAAAAAAGATTTTGATCATCATTTCATTGTGGAATGCTTTCACAGTCTTGTATTTAAAACACTGTTTTCTATATAATTAATAATTTTAACAGATTGAGACAAGACTTTGTCAAACGCAAGTGACATTTTTCTGGCAGTCAGGTTTTGCCTAGAAATTTAACAATGTGTCGACAATAAGTTATTGATGCCATAGTCTTAATTTTAGTGATTAAAGCTGATTTTCTACCAGTAACATGCAACTATGCAGATGCGAATTTAGTAGAGTGAGAGGTTGCAAGCAATATAGTTCTTGCAAAGGAAAACATGCACAAGTGACAAGTGAGAAATCTCATTGGCGTGAGCAAATTTCTGGTTCTTGCACATACTGACAGGGTTTGATATTTATCGCATCTCACCTCTTCTTGCCACATATTCTGACTCGCTCACATCTGCATAGTCTAAGCCTAAGACAGGCAGTGCCATTAATTAATGACAACAATTGGGTTTTGAAACAAGCACTTTCACACTGCAATGTGATCTTGCAAAGAAACAGAATTGGTATGAATAGCTTTGAGAACAAAATATGGTAAATGACAAATGCCCAACATTTTACATAATGAAAAAATAATAATAATTATTGAAAATAGGATAACACAACAATTTTCTTCAGAATATCATAGTTTAAGGATAAAATTTATTCAAAAACAGTAGGATTAACAATGTCTTTAATAAACATTGGGGAGAATTTTTAAAAATATCTAGACACTAACATACTAACTTCAAGTTTCAATGGAAAATTTTTCTTTATACTTCACTTTTTACGATTATTATTCTCCCCAGAATATATTCGTGAGAAATGCTTGAAAAAGTATTTAGTAAATACCACGAGAAGCACTTGAGAAATGCCACTGTACACTAAATAGTTTTTGAAGTTTTTATTTCTTTCCAACTAAAGCCATTGTATTAATTTGAAAAATTATAACTGTCGACAGTTAAATTATCACAAAATTGACTATTTATACTTAACTGTTGACAGTTCAGTAGTGTTTAGTATATACAGTAGACCAGTGGTTCTCAACAGGGGATACATGTACCCTTGGGGATACAAGCATAAATCGAAGGGGTACATCTAACTTTCATTATAAAATGGCGTATGTTAATCAGTTTGCTGTAAATTATTAACACAAAAAACAAGAAACGACAAAAACTTGCTTTAAAATATTCCAGTGTGAACACTGATTTCCCTTTTAACAGTCTAAACAACTTGTTTATCCACTTGATTTGCCTGTCTATTTGTGCCATTAGTGCCGAGTTACATTTTAGTTACAATAAGAGATAAAAACTGTTTAAGCACAATCAGTAGTGACTGATTAAATTTAAAATTGTCATAGGTATTTTATGGACTCACCTGATTTTTATGTGGATTATATAACAGAATACACTCAGTCATCTGAAAGGCTACCATAGCATTACCTCCTAAAGCTGATACATGGGCTCTGACTATTGCAAGAACTTCTGTCACGAAACTCTGGATAAAACCATTCAAACCTCCATTCTAAAAAGCATGGATGTAAATTATGAGTTAAGATAAAAAACAGCAAAAATTTTGATGTACTTTAATAATAAATGTTTTATCATCTTAATAAAATGTGAATATTAAGTCAAAAACAAATCAATTAGAGTATTTTCTTTAATAGAACAATATGATATAGCCAGTGTCATAGCTAGGATCATTGACACTCAGGAAAAGATTCAGATTTTATGCCCTCAAAAATTTACTAAATACAGTTGTATCTTGTTTTAACAGATCACGGAACAACAGATTTCTTGGAATAATGGTTTTTTTTTCTAGGTCTCACCAAATCAATGTAATTTTACCTTCTTTTAGTGGATTTTTCTTGGAATAATAGATTTTTTTCTAACCCTAATCTATTGTAAACTTTGCATTGTTTTCAACATTTAGTTAATATTTGGGATATTTTCATTTTCATTTAGTGGAGCACTCCATCTGACCTGTAGCATTAAATGCTACTGGCTTGAGGTACTCCTCTTTTAATTAACACTGCTTTACATATGCTTTGCAGGTAGTTATGATTATATAGTCGCGGTCGTAGCCGCAATACATTAATACCCGACAATTCTATTTTTATTTACATTAATTACATTGTTTTGTTGAGTAAAGTATTTGATGTCATTAGTTTGACAATGATCTATGAGAAAAATTTTTATATTCTGTTTTTATAACAAGTTTTTATAAATTTATTAAAATAATAATATATGTTAACATTATTTATAAGGCTACTTTTCCTAATAAGCCAATTGTAACCTTCTTTATTACAAACTAATTTTAGTTAGTTTCTTATTTTTTCATATTGCATACAGTCAAATAAGGTGTGTGTAAGGGTTTCTCTTACCCCACAAATCTCGCAGTTTTCATCATCTCGATGATTAAATCTATAATGATATTCCGCAAAATCACCATGTCCTGTCACAAATCTTGTGAATTTGTGACCAATTTGTAGATGTTTATTATTTAACCTCTGGTTAATATCTGGTATGTATTCAAAGAGTTCCCTTCCTTTTGTAGTTATTTCCCATTGTCGTTGCCATTGTAATATGTATCTAGTTTTGATTTCAGTTTTATGTATTTTGTAGATATTTTTCTGTAAGATTCCTTTGTTTTTAGATAACTAGCCTCTTTAGCCAGACTGTCTGCTCTTTCATTTCCTTGTCTCTGAAATACTTGATTTTTTATGATACTGCTCCCTATTTCTATAGTAATAAACACACGTCGCTCCCACTCCTTCTGAAGATCTCAATCCGTCTTTATAGATTCTGTATTTATCCTGATAGTTGTATTTCTTTATATGTATTTTCTCTCATTCATATCTTAATTTTTGTTGTTGTTTCATATCTGCTTCTAGCTTGTCCTCTTTTTTCAATTGTGGCCATCGGCCATGATCATTTTATATTTTGTATATATTAATATTTTTTATTTTTACTTTTAAGTTCTTTCCTGTCCCTTCATTCTAAAATTCTTTCTAGAACGTACCGATAGCACCATGCTATCGGCTTATGCAACACAGCAGACATTCAAGTCCATTGGGATTGGGCGGAAATAATTAAACCTACGACAAATTTACATACAATGAAATATCTGGAGAAATTAGAGATCTTTAAGGCACACAAGAAAACTGGTTGCATCACCCATAGAGATGCGGACTCTTTACCTACTGCATGGCAATCCTTCTACAAGAATTGATGACTTTATTTATTTTTATTTTTGTTAAATGACATTTTTTCGGCTTAATTTATCAACACGGCTACTTTTCCGTTATTTATATTTTAATTTCGTATTTACGTTCTTTTTTGTGTTCGATTTTATTCTACGTTATGGTAACTGAAGAAGATCGTTAAGAAACGATCGGAAACATTTTTACTTTATAATTTTTATTAGCTTGATGAAAATAGGACATATTAAAGAAAAAAAGGATCCATTGGAAGAGGAAAGTGTTGTGTATAGATTGCAATGCACGTGCGCAGTCCCGAATTTTTACATTGGTGAGACAAAATGGAAGTTGAAGGTCAGATGTCGGAACATCTCGCTACAGTACGTTTAAAAGTCAATACTTCCCCGGTGTTTTTGCATTGTTGTATTAATAATTGTCAAATTAATGTTAATGAAGTAAAAATTGTGTATAAAGAAATAAATACTGTAAAACAGAAATTTAAATAATGGTGTGGCACCAGCAAAATGCTGGGTAAACCTTGTCGGATATAAAAACTGTAAACACGGAGTAAAAGATTGTAATGGATAGCTATTGTGATTGGAAAACCAAATTGTATTGTATATTTTGGAGCCCTACTGAAGAGGCCAGTGTACTGACGAAATGCATTTAGGGATAAATGCTATGTAATAAAAAAGGTTTCTAAGAAAAAACTGGTTTGGTTTTTTAACCTTTTATTTTCAGTTAGTAAATGTTTTAGAGTTCAGAAGGTTTTATGCCTCTAAGTCAGAAAAACAGGGAAATTCGAATTTTCATGTACTCACTCAGTACAATTAAGTAAGATTAGAAAATTCTGACTCCATTGTTTTAAATATTTTAATTTATTTTTATACAAATATGATGTGACATTTTCTGCATGTGTCATTTGTGAGTGTTGTATCTTTCAGTATGTGTTTTCTGTAGTTTTTAGTGTTTATGACCTGATCCTGTATGGCAATCATGAATCTCTCTGTCTCCCCAAAGATACATCCCTGATCTAACCAGCTGTTTGATGCAGTTTTGTCAATAAAATCCTGGACCAGGTCATAAGGATGCCTAACATGGAGTGCCTTTTGAGCCCATAATTGCTTGATGGTGTTGTGGCTGTACCCCATATTAATGTATATATGTATGTAATAAGTTTAGTTTTACTTCTTTCCTTTGTTCTTTGTTTCTTTCTCTTTCCTGATCTTTACTTTCTAAAACTCTAACACTAACTAACTAAACTAACTAACTAACACTTCCCCTCGGGTGAAATAACTTCTATCCAACAAAATTTAAATCGTGACTATCATTTATAGTATACGATATATAAGCACAACAAGTTTTACCATTTGTTTGGTTACTCCAGTTATTGTAAACCTCCCTATACTGAACCAAATTTAAAGACATGTTCGGATCAAAAGAGAGCGAGAGCGACGGATTGATTCCCTGTCTTTCCATGACCTTTTCTGCCAAAATCTTATTCCTTGACTTTCCAGGTCTGTATATGAAAGGAATTTTTGTTTCCTGTAAATTAACAACACTGAGCGGCAGTTGCGGTTTTGAGTCCCGCTCGGGGACGAATATATTTTCTTCTGGAAACTTCTAGTCTGATAGTTTGTCTGGCTTTAAAAGTATTTTTGATTAGTCCCACATCCTCCTAATTAAGCATGTGGAAATGATCGAAAAGTGAGAAAAGTGAGGATACTTCAGAAAAATGTATATAAGTGAGAAAAGTGAGCGACTCCGAGGCCTGCATAATGTTCCATCTCAATTCTATGGTAATACAATAAAGTTGAACAGTATCCCTAGTATAATGATTATATCTACAATTTTCTGCTTTATATTTTTGCTTTATTAAGTAAATAGGTTGATTCGTGTAAGTTATTCAAGAGTTAGTCTACAAGGAAATGCATGATGTTAGATCACTGATTTTGATTAAACTCGTTGAAAATATAATGTATCCCCAATGACTGACATGTGCCAAGCAATAAGGCAAAGTACTGAAAATTAAATAAAACAATTCAGGTTGAAAATTACATAATCATTTAAAATCTGTCACTTGTAGCATAGCTGCTGGCTCTGTGGAAACATATCAATTTCATAATCAGCAGTTTGGCACTTCAAATCTCATCAGTATCAACAAATCATGTTTCTTCCTAAAAATAAACCAGCAATGAGTTACTCAACTTTCCCAGCAACATTTAAAATTTTGGTGGCACCATCTGTTATCATATCTTATTTAAAAACTTTTTATATTTTTAAGTATTATAAAATGGCAAAAAGCTTAATTTTGAGAGTAAAGATAAGTTTTATAAAAAATTGTAAATGCTAATAATGAGTAAAATCATCATTAAGTTTGACCCTATTGGAAATACACACGTACCCAATTATCTCCCCAACCCCTTGACCCATAACCACCAAAATATAAGAGCATCAATCCCCCTAATAAATAAACCTCCTTGCAAAATTTCAGAAATTTTCAATGGAAAAACATGTGAGTTATTAAGCTTCAAACAAGGTTAACAAAATTGTCCCCCCCACACATGATAATATCCATACATACAGAAAAAACCCCCAAATGTTTTTGCATTTCTAGACATTTCAAGGTGTCCTGAATCCAAAAATGTCAAAATTGTGGGGGAGTCATTTTTTGCCAGATTGCCATACTTTCCCTCTGTTATATATAATAGCCAAGAAAATAATATAATTTTCACTTTCTTTTTGAAACTTTTAAATTTATTATATATATTTAAATTTATTTTTAATATACAAATACANGTAGGCCTACTTACTTTGTGATGAACATTGACTGCCTGGTTATGAAAGGTTTTTTTCTGAAGTTTATTGTAGCAAATATATCCATTGCTTTGGAAAAATCTAGTTTCTCTTGCTTCTGAATTTTCAATAGAGAGTAAGGGTGCGACTATGCAGATGCGAATTTAGTAGCAAATGAGCGATTGCAAGCAATATAGTTCTTGCAAAGGAAACCATGCACAAGAGAGAAGCATCGCTGGCAAGAGCAAATTTCTGGTTCTCGCACATATTCAACAGGGTTTGATATTTATCGCATCTTGCCTCTTCTCGCCACATATTCTTACTCGCTTAGAAAATTCACTTGCTATTGTCTGCATAGTTGCACCCTAATGCTAAACTACTTAGTCTCTCTTCATCTATTGAACTCAAATAGATTTTTATAATTTTAGCTATTGCGGATAGAGTAAGAGGCAAAAGACACATAGCCGCTTTGAACCATGCAATTGCATGGATTGCACAAATGGTAGTTATATCATTGGCTAAAGTGAAATCTTTTTCATGAACAGTGAAGAAAAACTCAAACTTAATTAAAATTAATTTTAACATAAACATATTTGATACCTCTCGAACACTTGTGCTTTCTCGAATAAAAAAGAAGTCTAAATTTCCCATGTAACGTTCGATCTTACCACTGGGAACGTGGCTTAATGGTGTCATTTCTATACCAAAATATTCTCTAAATGGAACCTGTTTATAAGAAAAGTAATAAATTATTATTAAACAAAATATATTGAAAATGATAAATATTGCAATAATAATTACAAGCATTACTATTGTGAAAAAAAAAACTTGGAAATACAGTAAAACTTCTCTAACTCAAATATTTCTTTAACTCAAAGAAAAAGCATTCAATAGGTCTCAATGGAATGGTGCAGGAATTTAACATCTCCAACTTGAATTTCCTTAACTCAAATTTTCTTCAAGTCAAAGGTTTCATGATCGCCCAATGCCAATTTATATTACTTTCAACTTCATGACTTGAATTTTAATATTTATTCTATCCAAAGTGATCCCAATTATGATTTCCATGAAATTTTCAGACAGTAGTCATATCTACTGTCCAACACCCATTTGTAGACAATGTTCTAGTGCAAAGTGAGAAGACTTTGCACTTTATCTCAACAAGATGTACCTGCAAAACTGTTTGATTCCATTAGCTACATTGAAGATTTTGCTGAAAGGTGTTACTTGAGCTGTTTAAAACAAAAACTATCAAAGGTTCTTTACATAATGCAACAAAGATAAAAATACAAATCTATTCAGAATTGGCATTTTTCATTATTGTTCTCTATCTCAAATAGTCTGTAACCCACAGTTTTTCCCCGTTCTTTGAAGCTTCGAGTTGTAATGAATTACAGTAAAACTTCTCTAACATTATAATTTACTATTTCCAGAATAACTGATTCATAAAACACATTAAGTTTGTTGATTTGCATACGGACTATTTGTAATATATCCACAATAATGAGATGGCGCCTAACGCTTACCTCTAGTGCCAAATTGGTTACGTAATTGATTTGGTAATTAGCCTTAAACTAGCCCGATAGATTTTCGACATACGGTTGATGTTTAGTTATGTTATATATCAGGTTTAGCAATGTTTGTACAATGTCATGAATGTGCTAAGCATCATAAAATAATGTATTCTATTTAACTATTATTCATTTCATATAAGTAGAAATGCAATCTTTATTAAGAGAATAAATGCTAGTTTTATCAATTTTATTGTCATTATTTTGCCAACTGTAAAGACAGTAAATGTGCAGAACAGAATAAAACTCATTAAAACAGCCTCACAATTATAATTATTAAAATACGTGGGGGCTTCAAAAAGTTTGTGGAAAAAGTCCATAACTAACAATTGTTTGGAAGGATTTTGATTTCAATGCACCTGAATATTCTTGTACCAACGTGTTATAACATGTTCAAACAGGAACCCTTAAATGCAGGTGAGAACACAGCATCATCAGTTGAAAGTCAGGCACCATTCAAGCAACATAGAATCCACCAAAATCAAAACCAGAACAAACATAAAGTTTATGGTGAAACTTGGTTGGGAGAATAGGCAAATCATTGATGCTCTAGAACAAGTTTATGGTGATAATGCTCCAAAGAAGTCAACAACCTATGTAAAGTACTATATTATTTTTCCGACTTTCCAACGATTATCGACACTAATGTGTGCCGGAAATAGCCGTTCCCTAACGGGTACTTTACGCGGATTCGCGTTAGTGTGCCAGGCCTGGACTTTAAGCGTGCACCGAATTAAATAATGACAAAGTTTGTCAATAACAAAATTCAAATATTTAATTAAACTTCTATTAATAAACTCTATACAGTATTTAGTAAAAATCAAACAATAATTTATTCAATGAAACTCAACAAGAATCAATCCGACAAACTCAAATCAATCTATTTCTAACTTAATTCTATTCCCCTTTGGAATTCGACAAAATCAAAGAATTAACTTATAAACAATAATTCTTATAAATTAAAGATCCTAATCGTCACCTCAATATACTAGGAACCTATTTCCTCAAACTCTCAAGACTTTCTATAATCGTCGATCCACAAATCGAATAACTTCAAAATCCTATCGGACACCTCTCTCGTTCACTGCTACGAAGCTCACCAAAGCTCGTTGCTATCAGGAATTCACCTCGTTCGTTTTCACTTGAGTTAGAGGCTTTATAGTGTGAGGTGACGTCACAATTCTGAATGAGCTCACTCTCCTCATTTACATACTTATCTGTAACATTAAATTTTTCTTGTTTATCTGGCAGATTATTTTCCGACAATACTTCGCTAACCTTTTACATTATTCTTTTTAACAATTATCGGGATGCTTTATTCTTTTAAGGTTTAGCGATTCCTAACTGGGTTGTGGGGTCTTCTCCCCCCCTTTTTCTCGGTGCGGACTTACTTTTTTCCGCTTGGGAAGCGCAAGTGTGCGCGAGTTTTCTACGGCGCTTTTCTTTCGTTGGTGAGTTGGTTTTTCTTCTATTTTTAAGTTACTAAGGTGAATGGTGAGGAAACTTCGTCCTAACAAAACATAAGCCCCAAACAAAAATAGAATAATAAGCAAAATAAAAGTAAATAAAAATAACGTTCGGACTTGGTTCCTTACACCTACAAATGGATAAATCGCTGAAAGGTACTAATTTTTCGTCAGTTGAAGATGTAAAAAGAGCTGCTCTGACATAGTTCAGATCACAAGGCCCTAAGTTCTACTCAGACGGATATAAAGACTGGTATCAACATTTGCAGAAGTGTATCGATCTTAATGGAGCATATATTGAAAAATAAGCATCATAACTGAAATTGTTTTTTAATACTATCCTTTTTCCACAAACTTTTTGAAGCCCCCTCATATTTTTTTTATTAATGAGGTTTGCAATATTTTAATAATTTTGATAATTTACACTAAAATATTTGAGTTGTAGAAGATGTAATAAATAAAAATTCATGTTTTATAATTAACAAATTAATCTAGAAAAAATACTAAATTAGTCTTCATTTCAGTTATATTTCCCATTCCATTGTAATCTAAAGAAATGGTTAATTTAATTTTTCTAACTAGTCCAGATTAAATAGCTAAAATCAGGTAAAGCTAGTGGCATAACTACATATGAATGGGCAACATTTCCAAAATGGGCCTCCATTGGGCTTTCTGTAATTTTTTTTTGAAATATCTCTATAATTTTATGTAAATTAAGCTAAATAATTTATTCATTTTAAAAACAGTAAAGGATATTAGTACACTGTAGGCCTACTTACTTTGTGATGAACATTGACTGCCTGGTTATGAAAGGTTTTTTTCTGAAGTTTATTGTAGCAAATATATCCATTGCTTTGGAAAAATCTAGTTTCTCTTGCTTCTGAATTTTCAATAGAGAGTAAGGGTGCGACTATGCAGATGCGAATTTAGTAGCAAATGAGCGATTGCAAGCAATATAGTTCTTGCAAAGGAAACCATGCACAAGAGAGAAGCATCGCTGGCAAGAGCAAATTTCTGGTTCTCGCACATATTCAACAGGGTTTGATATTTATCGCATCTTGCCTCTTCTCGCCACATATTCTTACTCGCTTAGAAAATTCACTTGCTATTGTCTGCATAGTTGCACCCTAATGCTAAACTACTTAGTCTCTCTTCATCTATTGAACTCAAATAGATTTTTATAATTTTAGCTATTGCGGATAGAGTAAGAGGCAAAAGACACATAGCCGCTTTGAACCATGCAATTGCATGGATTGCACAAATGGTAGTTATATCATTGGCTAAAGTGAAATCTTTTTCATGAACAGTGAAGAAAAACTCAAACTTAATTAAAATTAATTTTAACATAAACATATTTGATACCTCTCGAACACTTGTGCTTTCTCGAATAAAAAAGAAGTCTAAATTTCCCATGTAACGTTCGATCTTACCACTGGGAACGTGGCTTAATGGTGTCATTTCTATACCAAAATATTCTCTAAATGGAACCTGTTTATAAGAAAAGTAATAAATTATTATTAAACAAAATATATTGAAAATGATAAATATTGCAATAATAATTACAAGCATTACTATTGTGAAAAAAAAAACTTGGAAATACAGTAAAACTTCTCTAACTCAAATATTTCTTTAACTCAAAGAAAAAGCATTCAATAGGTCTCAATGGAATGGTGCAGGAATTTAACATCTCCAACTTGAATTTCCTTAACTCAAATTTTCTTCAAGTCAAAGGTTTCATGATCGCCCAATGCCAATTTATATTACTTTCAACTTCATGACTTGAATTTTAATATTTATTCTATCCAAAGTGATCCCAATTATGATTTCCATGAAATTTTCAGACAGTAGTCATATCTACTGTCCAACACCCATTTGTAGACAATGTTCTAGTGCAAAGTGAGAAGACTTTGCACTTTATCTCAACAAGATGTACCTGCAAAACTGTTTGATTCCATTAGCTACATTGAAGATTTTGCTGAAAGGTGTTACTTGAGCTGTTTAAAACAAAAACTATCAAAGGTTCTTTACATAATGCAACAAAGATAAAAATACAAATCTATTCAGAATTGGCATTTTTCATTATTGTTCTCTATCTCAAATAGTCTGTAACCCACAGTTTTTCCCCGTTCTTTGAAGCTTCGAGTTGTAATGAATTACAGTAAAACTTCTCTAACATTATAATTTACTATTTCCAGAATAACTGATTCATAAAACACATTAAGTTTGTTGATTTGCATACGGACTATTTGTAATATATCCACAATAATACAATACAAATATAATTGTAAAGTTTATAATCAGTGGTGGCTTGTGACTCTAATGTATGAAAGTGCAATTTAATGTAACAAAACACCTAAACCTAGAAAACAGTAAAAAATATATACAGTAGCGCGTCGTTTATTTGACAGCCGGTTATCCGAAACGTCGGTTAACCGAAACCATTCCAGTCGGCAAATTTAAATTTTTGTTAGTGCTGTGGCAATGCAATCTTTGGCTATATCTTGGGCTACTCCAATATTTTTTTTGTTGATGTGTGTGTTTTAGCTGGAAGCACTGACACTTTTCTGTAGTGTTTTTCTGAGGACTGTGTGTCCTGCTAAATTGAACGTTTTTGATACTAGATTAACTTCTAAAATATAATTTTTTTTGTTTCTATATTTTTCAATATATTTATTTTGTTTGTAGAAAATAAAAATAATTTTTAACAATACAATAGCCATGATTATTATTTTAAAAAATTTACATTAGACATAACATCGACGAAAATTCAATGCGAAGCGACACGCAACAGAGAAAAATTTCAACACATGATAGGTTAATATATTTTTTCGTACATAATCGGTTATCCGAAAAATAAATTATCTGAACAACCTCAGTCCCCAATTGATTCGGATAAACGACGCTCTACTGTATAGTACTATTAATAACAAGAAAAAGATGTTCAGAAATATACAACTCTCAAAACAATTCAACAACTGTAGAAATAATTATCAAGGTCTGGGCCCAACAAGGTAAAACATCAAATATGTATTTGTCATAAAAGCCTTAGTCAAACAATGTTTTGACTAACTTTTATGACAAATACAAACTAAGACTACTCTATTTTAATGGTTTATCTGTGTTTAAGAGATAATTTGAAAGGGACTGCAAGTTTTGTGATGGGACAAGTTAAATGCTTATTTTAAATTCTAGTCATAAGTTAAAGTTGATTCACACTGGTCAGTGGCAGGTAACTAACCGACTAGACTGACAAATATCCATTTGTATGTTTGCTAGAAATGATACAAAGCATTTAACTATACTCCACACTGTTTTTACAACCTTGACCTATTCTAATGGATCAAGATTTAATTTTTTAATAAATACATGCAATTAAGATGTATTAAACTGAAGATTAATCTAAAATACAAGAAGTTTATTACTATTACTGAACTTTTATTTTTATTACAGTGATAAATAAATAATTTATTATTTTTTGTTTATTATTACAATTGACATAATTGGAACACACAAAATTGAATTACTGGGATAGCCAGTAAGTACAGGAAAAAATTTCTCAGTAGCCACTTTCTTGTTAAAGCTACATACCACATCTTCAAGCACATAGTAGTGAAGATAATACAAAAACACGCACTGCGCTAAGCTATTGTCTTTGCTAATGCATGCACAGATTGAAAGTTATTTAATACTTTAAATTTTATACAAATTTTAGTTTAATTAATGTAAACTGTATTTCTACATTACAAAGTTAAAAAATAAAGCAAAAAGCAGGTAATGTCATTTTTAGTTTTGATTTTGTTAATTATTATTTTGAATTAAATTTAATAATTTTAATAATAAGCCAAATCGGGTTTTGAGATGTTTGTATGAGGTATATGTATACAATAGAGCGTCGTTTATCCAAATCAATTGGGGAATGGGATTGTTTGGAACATGTTGCATGTTTGTTGCAATGGTGATAGTACATCCCAGTCACACAAAGCATACACCAGTCTTTTGGAAGTGTTTCTTTTTCGGATATCCAATTATGTATGAAAAAATATATTAACCTATCCCATGTCAAAATTTTTCTCCGTTGCATGTCGCTTCATGTTGAATTTTCATCGATGTTAAGCCTAATGTCAATTTTTATAATAATAATCGTGGCTATTATATCGTTAAAAATTATTTCTTTATTTTGCACAAACAAAATAAATATATTAAAAAACATAAAAACAAAAAAATTATATTTTGGAAGTTAATCTAGTATCAAAAACATTCGATTCAGCATGACACAGTCCAACTGGAATGCTTTCGGTTAACCGACATTTTGGTCGATTGGCTTTCAGATAAATGACGCTCTACTGTATTAATAATTTTATTAAATATTTTGTTAAATAAATTAATTTAATTCAAAAATTTGTCTAATTATTAATAACTACAGGTAACCCCCGTATAACACGGTGCTTTTATAGCACGGGTTCACTCTAACATGGTTCAGGAATTGGGTAAAACCATGGTTAAACATAAAATGTAATAAAGGGTGCATTCTTCTATACATCCGCGTAACTCCACGCAAGCATTCTAATTTTTTTCGTGGCTACTTTGAATGATCTTTCAACAAATAATTCATTTAATGGTTAAATTATACAATTGGGACCCTTATTTTGTCTCTAAAAGCTCATTTTAGAATTATAGATTCCTCCACAGGATACTATCGATAGTGCAAGTGCCACCATCTTTCTTTCACCGTCATTCCTAAATGCCTACAAACAGCAGCGCACTCCCGTNATCGATCTTAATGGAGCATATATTGAAAAATAAGCATCATAACTGAAATTGTTTTTTAATACTATCCTTTTTCCACAAACTTTTTGAAGCCCCCTCACAAATCCTCCCATGTAATATTTATTTAAAATTTTTTTTGGGAAGATAGTAAGATGTAAACAAAATTATCATTACTCAAGTCCAATTTTGTTAATAAAAAGAACATTTTTATTAATAAAAATTTATTTTTTTTCTAACATTATTCAACTTGTTTGCTTTTCAGAAGCACAACTTATGTGGATGAGAATAGTTGTACAAGCATGTGAAACAATAAATATTTTTTCTTCTACAGCAGCAAGAAGATATACATATGTCACCAGAAAAATAAACTTAATTAACGATTACAAATACATTTATGTTATCATGTTAGCATGAAATGTCAAAGCCATCTTTTTATTGCTTAGCAAACAAAAACACTTAGTCATTTTTTAGCCTAAATGTGTGTATATGTTGCCAAATCAAGTATATGAATATACAGAAAATTTTTTTGTTTTTAAATAAATATAAGAAATTTAAAAACACCAAGAATAAAATGAAAATTATATTTTTAAAGGAAAAAATAATATATTGATACCAATGATATTAGAAGCACTAACTTACTGATTACAAAACTAGTGCACCTCCACAGAGCCGATGGCCACTCTACAAATGACAAAAATGCTGAAAATTTTAAGTAATCATGCAAATTGTCAACCTCAATTTACCTGCTTAATTTTCAGTAGCTTAGCATGTGTCAATCATTAGAGATGCACCATATCATCACTGAGTTTGATCAAAATCAATGACACCAATGTCATGTTTCCTCATGAGTAAAAACTCAGCATTTCACATGGGAGATGTTTTTTGACATAGTTTAATTACATTTATGTACAGTAAGAAACAGAAAATTTAACAGATTTTGGCTTGAACACTTAATATTATGTGTATACTGTTAATACCATATAGAAGAAATTCATAACCATTTGATCTAAATAGGACACCCATATTATCAATACAATGTCATGAATAAACATCAACCGTATGCCGAAAATCTATCGGGCTAGTTTAAGGCTAATTACCAAATCAATTACGTAACCAATTTGGCACTAGAGGTAAGCGTTAGGCGCCATCTCTTATTAACATTAATCATTATAAATAAATTAATTAATTTAAATAATTTAGAACCGCTGGGAGAAAAATCGGCCCTGAGCGGGACTCGAACCCACAACTCCTGCTTACTGTGCAGATGCTTTGCCAGTTACGCTATCTGGACCTCCAGTCCGATCTCCTCTTCCAGCATATATAATCTAACTATATAACCATCAACGGTTATTACAACGCCGGCTGGGGACACATTCAGTGCCCACGTCCCACACCGTCAATGGTTATATAGTTAGATTATATACGCTGGAAGAGAAGATCGGACTGGAGGTCCGGATAGTGTAACTGGCAACGCATCTGCACGGTAAGCAGGAGTTGTGGGTTTGAGTCCCGCTCCGGGCCGATTTTTCTCCCAGCGGTTCTAAATTATTTAAATTAATTAATTTATTTATAATAATTAATGTTAATAAGAGATGGCGCCTAACGCTTACCTCTAGAGCCAAATNAGCACAGTGTATAACAAGATAACTGAACACTGAAGCACATATACAGTAGAGCGTCGTTTATCCGAATGTTGGTTATCTGAAACGTCAGTTATCCGAAAGAATTCCAGTCAGCAAATTTAAATTTTCGTTAGTGCTGTGGCACTGCAATCTTTGGCTATATCTTGGTCTACTCCAATATTTTTTTGTTGATTTGTGTGTTTTTGCTGGCAGCACTGGCACTTTTGTGTGGTGTTTTTCTGAGGACTGTGTGTCGTGCTGAATCGAACATTTTTGATACTAGATTAACTTCTAAAGTATCATTGTTTTTGTTTTTATATTTTTCAATATATTTATTTTGTTTGTAAAAAATAAAAAAAATTTTTAACGATACAATAGCCACGATTATCATTTTAAAAAGTTTACATTAAGCTTAACATTGATGAAAATTCAACACGAAGTGACACGCAACGGAGAAAAATTTCAATACGGAATAGGTTAATATATTTTTTCATACATAATTGGTTATCCGAAAAATAAATTATCCGAACAACCCCAGTCCCCAATTGATTCGGATAAATGACACTCTACTGTACTAAAAAAATTCCCATAAATGCATTGCATCAGAATAATAAAATAAAAAGTGCAAAATACAGGTTCCTCATACAACATGGTACTTCTACAACATGGTTTCATTCTAATACAGTTTGAAAATTAAGGATATCTCCTGTACAACACAACTTCCAGTTTTGCTCTAACATGGTTTTGGAAATTCTCCGTACAAAATTTTACAAATTTGAATTTATGTGAAAAATTACAATTTTTAAGAAACTTCATTATTCAATATTTTTTTTATTCAAGTAAGCATGCATATTGTCTCAAATTTGCCCATGGATTTTAGAATATTGAAATTTTCAAATTATTTTGTGCTTTTTGTCAGGTTTACTTTAATGAAAACTGATAGTGCAATTTTTTTTTCTTGTCCTAACTTTCCTATCAACCAGATGTCATCATTGTTGCTTTCAGACTTTATCCCTTAAGATTATCACTGTGTTTTCTTTTTATAGATTAATTTTTGTATTTAGTAAAGTTTATTTAAACATTTTTAGGTAAGTATTATTAAACTTTTTTAACCATAGTCAGGAGTTGGCAGTTTGTCAAGTGAGAAGAGCCAAATTGTCATGAAAACAGGATAACAAAAGTACCAGAGAGCCGCATATATGTATTGATAATATACATATGTATATTACATATATGCAGCTCTCAATAGACAAATTTTCCTAGTTACTAGGCGAATTTGGCTATTGGCCAAATGAATAATAATAATTTATATTGTTAATTTAAATGTGTGAAATACGACACACGACAAGGGCGCCTCTAGTGGCAGCTTTTGGCATAATGTTACACGGACGGACAGACATGTGGGTTTTATACATGTATATAGATATGCTACCACGCACTTGCGACTCATATTGATCAAAGCAAGTGTGGTCATGTGCAAAGAGGCTAAAGAGTGCTAGAGAGTATGCCGTACGAGTCGAAGTTTGTTCAGCAGCTCTATCTCATAAACTCATAAGTTATTAGGCTGCTTGAGATGAGGTGAAATTGGAGTTTATGTCCGAAGAGCCACAAACGTCTATGCAAAGAGCCACATGCAGCTCGCGAGCTGCTCCTGCTGACCCCTGACCATAGGTATTACATAGGTAAAAACAAAACACAGTGGTATCTCAATACTCAAATACAAATTCTGAGAATAAAGTCACTCAGTGCTTGAATGAACAAATGTGATCAGCTATAACAAATTTTTGATTAATAACATATTTTTATTTTGTCAGCCATAAAAACTTTTTATGATAAAAATAAAAAATATGAAAATGTTGCTGATACTTCTGATCAAGATCAATAAAAAAGCTGAGATGACAATGACACTTTGTAAAAAGAAGATGCTTAATTAAAATTAATATTAATGCATAACAAAGTACTTTTAATTGTGATTGTTAATTAATTATTGTTGGAAATAAATTAGCAATTGCTTTAATAAACATATTTCTCTTAGTAATGAAAAAGAATAGATAGTATACTTTGCTAACTTCTGGAACATAAAAATACATTTTGCATTACTCCTTTGTTTTGTATAGACGGATTTGCATAACACAACACTTTTTCAGAACATAACTACCATGTTATATATCTGTAAGTGTTTTAGAACAATACTTTACTTTTATTGAAAAAATACATTGTTTATTTTCCTTTGCAAAAACAAAGGAAAATAAACAATTTATTTTTTCAAAAAGGTGGAATAACTCCATTTCTTTATTGCTAGATTCCTGATCCATTTGAGTAGAAGACTGTGATTGCTGTCTCTAACACAGCAAATGCTTCAGTACACATCAGACCCATTTTGTTCTGTTCTTGTTTGTCATCCTCTTCATCTATTTCATTTTTGACAGGCTTACTAGTTTCACTCACACATGCTTAAATTTCATCATAAGTAAAGACTTGAAAACCATCATTAATATATATGTCACTTGCCAGTCGTTCATATTCATATGTTTATCAAAATCTTCAAATCCAAAGATTGATTTAACAAGTTCATAAATTTCTTCATAAATACCTTGATCCATTGGTTAATCAAACATTGTGATATTTAGTAGAAAATATATTACTTCAATGTTGCATTTAGCACATCATCTGAGAGATAACATGATGCATTGTTGATCAGTAGAAGCACTTTGCCATGTTTTCCTTCATATCCACAATGCCTTTTAATACTAGGTTTATCATTCACAAAAAGATCAAAGTTCATCCATGCATTTTTTTGTGCCTTGTAAAATATAGGTAAGATAAGATGCAAGCAATAATTTTGAAACAATGAGGATTTTTTTTAATACTTCCCACCAGTAATGGCAATACTTGAGTACCACCAGCATTTGTGCAAACCAATGCAGTGATTTACTCTTTGCTAACTTTAAAGCTAAGCATTGCAGATCCTGTCCTAAAGCCAGTGACTATTGGGGCACACCTTCCAAATTACCTGTTTCAACTGCATTGCAGACATCATCTTTAGAATATTCCTTGCTTTCCATAAGTCTCATTAACATTTACTTGAATTCATAGGTAGCCATGTCATTGCAGGATGACTCTCCTTCAATGTGAAGTTCTCTTATGCTTTGTAATTACTTGAAGTTTCTGAGCAAACCATTGCTGGCTTTGAAATCAGGGGCATCCCAAATGATTGTTCATGTAGAGTGCCTTTTCACATAACAAAGTGTCCAATATTGGTTTCTCATTGCTCTTTCTTTGAAGGAATTACAAATGAAATATGCAGTTAAGTGTTGTATAGTGCTTGGATCTTTCATTGTTTTTCTTTTCTTACATCTATCATCAGAGTCAAATCTGACAGTAAATTCTAAGATGGACCTTTGTGATCTCACTCAATAATTTTCCTGTTTTGAAAGATTGTTATATCTAATGTATTTCAACTTATTCACTTTTCTATCACTTTAGTCAACTTTTCATCTCTTTAGTAGTATCAAATTTTACTGCCATAAATTAATGTTTTTGAAATTAAATATATAAATTATTCAAAAAATGTATCCATGATTTTAGATATTGCATTTTTTTAACAAAAAATACAATTATGATACTTTAATTTGATTACTAGACAAACAAAATTTGCAATCCAGACAAAGATATTTAAACAGTAAACAACTCTTGAGCAAATAGATTGAAACAGTAGTCCACAAAATAAATCTAAAAATTAATTGTAAATTTGATTTCAAAATAATTTTATTTCTTTATTTCTCAGGTTATTTTTATTTGATGTCCATTTTCATACAGACATACCCTGTTTCTCCGAAAATAAGACAGTGTCTTATATTAATTTTTGCTCTCAAAGATGCGCTAGGTCTTATTTTCAGGGGATGTCTTATTTTTCCATGAAGAAGAATTCACATTTATTGTTGAACAAAAAAATTCCCAAGTCTAACTTAAATGAGTGTGACGTAAATCTGGTCATGTCGAACTGAACTTACAAAGTTCCCATGCTGGAGTGGACTTCCTACTCTCGCTTCAATTTAACCTTTTCATAGCGTCGACATCGGGCTCGATGACCAATTAGTGCTTACTGAACCGTAGCACTATGCAAATGTGATGTGGCGTGATTCCCAGCCAACCAATTAGTGATCACCAGCTGTAACGTTATGCAAATATGTGATTCCCAAGCCATAGTCTTATGCAAATCATGCTGTGTAGCATGATTGTCTGCTGACCAATCAGTGGCTGTACTTTCAAAAAGTCAACGGCCACTTTCAACCATCTGTCGATGACTGTTATGACTAAAAAAATTTTGCTAGGTCTTACTTTCGGGGGAAGGTCTTTCCCCCACAATTTCACAATTCAGCAAAACCTCTGCTAGGCCTTATTTTCAGAGGATGTCTTATTTTCGGGGAAACACGGTACTTTATAATTAAGATATTTCTTTCTGCAACAAATTGAAAGCCTCAATTTTTGTACAAATCCAAGATACANCGATCTTAATGGAGCATATATTGAAAAATAAGCATCATAACTGAAATTGTTTTTTAATACTATCCTTTTTCCACAAACTTTTTGAAGCCCCCTCATATTTTTTTTATTAATGAGGTTTGCAATATTTTAATAATTTTGATAATTTACACTAAAATATTTGAGTTGTAGAAGATGTAATAAATAAAAATTCATGTTTTATAATTAACAAATTAATCTAGAAAAAATACTAAATTAGTCTTCATTTCAGTTATATTTCCCATTCCATTGTAATCTAAAGAAATGGTTAATTTAATTTTTCTAACTAGTCCAGATTAAATAGCTAAAATCAGGTAAAGCTAGTGGCATAACTACATATGAATGGGCAACATTTCCAAAATGGGCCTCCATTGGGCTTTCTGTAATTTTTTTTTGAAATATCTCTATAATTTTATGTAAATTAAGCTAAATAATTTATTCATTTTAAAAACAGTAAAGGATATTAGTACACTGTAGGCCTACTTACTTTGTGATGAACATTGACTGCCTGGTTATGAAAGGTTTTTTTCTGAAGTTTATTGTAGCAAATATATCCATTGCTTTGGAAAAATCTAGTTTCTCTTGCTTCTGAATTTTCAATAGAGAGTAAGGGTGCGACTATGCAGATGCGAATTTAGTAGCAAATGAGCGATTGCAAGCAATATAGTTCTTGCAAAGGAAACCATGCACAAGAGAGAAGCATCGCTGGCAAGAGCAAATTTCTGGTTCTCGCACATATTCAACAGGGTTTGATATTTATCGCATCTTGCCTCTTCTCGCCACATATTCTTACTCGCTTAGAAAATTCACTTGCTATTGTCTGCATAGTTGCACCCTAATGCTAAACTACTTAGTCTCTCTTCATCTATTGAACTCAAATAGATTTTTATAATTTTAGCTATTGCGGATAGAGTAAGAGGCAAAAGACACATAGCCGCTTTGAACCATGCAATTGCATGGATTGCACAAATGGTAGTTATATCATTGGCTAAAGTGAAATCTTTTTCATGAACAGTGAAGAAAAACTCAAACTTAATTAAAATTAATTTTAACATAAACATATTTGATACCTCTCGAACACTTGTGCTTTCTCGAATAAAAAAGAAGTCTAAATTTCCCATGTAACGTTCGATCTTACCACTGGGAACGTGGCTTAATGGTGTCATTTCTATACCAAAATATTCTCTAAATGGAACCTGTTTATAAGAAAAGTAATAAATTATTATTAAACAAAATATATTGAAAATGATAAATATTGCAATAATAATTACAAGCATTACTATTGTGAAAAAAAAAACTTGGAAATACAGTAAAACTTCTCTAACTCAAATATTTCTTTAACTCAAAGAAAAAGCATTCAATAGGTCTCAATGGAATGGTGCAGGAATTTAACATCTCCAACTTGAATTTCCTTAACTCAAATTTTCTTCAAGTCAAAGGTTTCATGATCGCCCAATGCCAATTTATATTACTTTCAACTTCATGACTTGAATTTTAATATTTATTCTATCCAAAGTGATCCCAATTATGATTTCCATGAAATTTTCAGACAGTAGTCATATCTACTGTCCAACACCCATTTGTAGACAATGTTCTAGTGCAAAGTGAGAAGACTTTGCACTTTATCTCAACAAGATGTACCTGCAAAACTGTTTGATTCCATTAGCTACATTGAAGATTTTGCTGAAAGGTGTTACTTGAGCTGTTTAAAACAAAAACTATCAAAGGTTCTTTACATAATGCAACAAAGATAAAAATACAAATCTATTCAGAATTGGCATTTTTCATTATTGTTCTCTATCTCAAATAGTCTGTAACCCACAGTTTTTCCCCGTTCTTTGAAGCTTCGAGTTGTAATGAATTACAGTAAAACTTCTCTAACATTATAATTTACTATTTCCAGAATAACTGATTCATAAAACACATTAAGTTTGTTGATTTGCATACGGACTATTTGTAATATATCCACAATAATACAATACAAATATAATTGTAAAGTTTATAATCAGTGGTGGCTTGTGACTCTAATGTATGAAAGTGCAATTTAATGTAACAAAACACCTAAACCTAGAAAACAGTAAAAAATATATACAGTAGCGCGTCGTTTATTTGACAGCCGGTTATCCGAAACGTCGGTTAACCGAAACCATTCCAGTCGGCAAATTTAAATTTTTGTTAGTGCTGTGGCAATGCAATCTTTGGCTATATCTTGGGCTACTCCAATATTTTTTTTGTTGATGTGTGTGTTTTAGCTGGAAGCACTGACACTTTTCTGTAGTGTTTTTCTGAGGACTGTGTGTCCTGCTAAATTGAACGTTTTTGATACTAGATTAACTTCTAAAATATAATTTTTTTTGTTTCTATATTTTTCAATATATTTATTTTGTTTGTAGAAAATAAAAATAATNTGTCCTGCTAAATTGAACGTTTTTGATACTAGATTAACTTCTAAAATATAATTTTTTTTGTTTCTATATTTTTCAATATATTTATTTTGTTTGTAAAAAATAAAGAAATAATTTTTAATGATACAATAGCCACGATTATTATTTTAAAAAATTTACATTAGACATAACATCGACGAAAATTCAATGCGAAGCGACACGCAACAGAGAAAAATTTCAACACATGATAGGTTAATATATTTTTTCGTACATAATCGGTTATCCGAAAAATAAATTATCTGAACAACCTCAGTCCCCAATTGATTCGGATAAACGACGCTCTACTGTATAGTACTATTAATAACAAGAAAAAGATGTTCAGAAATATACAACTCTCAAAACAATTCAACAACTGTAGAAATAATTATCAAGGTCTGGGCCCAACAAGGTAAAACATCAAATATGTATTTGTCATAAAAGCCTTAGTCAAACAATGTTTTGACTAACTTTTATGACAAATACAAACTAAGACTACTCTATTTTAATGGTTTATCTGTGTTTAAGAGATAATTTGAAAGGGACTGCAAGTTTTGTGATGGGACAAGTTAAATGCTTATTTTAAATTCTAGTCATAAGTTAAAGTTGATTCACACTGGTCAGTGGCAGGTAACTAACCGACTAGACTGACAAATATCCATTTGTATGTTTGCTAGAAATGATACAAAGCATTTAACTATACTCCACACTGTTTTTACAACCTTGACCTATTCTAATGGATCAAGATTTAATTTTTTAATAAATACATGCAATTAAGATGTATTAAACTGAAGATTAATCTAAAATACAAGAAGTTTATTACTATTACTGAACTTTTATTTTTATTACAGTGATAAATAAATAATTTATTTTTGAACAGCAAAGAGTATATTCAGCTGATTTTTAATAAATTTGTTAAATGCAATAACTGAATGTTCACATATGTTCAACAAACTAAATTTAAATGTTTACTTACTGTTTTAGCTCTTAATTCCTCTTCAGTTCGATGAACATTAAGTAGTGGCAAAACTTTTACTAAAAGTCTCCACCAACTCCAACTGTGAATGGCTAAAAATTTTCGAACATTCCTCTGAATGCATCGGATAGCCATATCTTGAACCTGTATCATAAAGTTTGATCAATCTAGTTAAAAATTTATATAAAATGAAATATTAAATTGAAAAATTTTAAGTAACTTTAAAGTATTANTTATTATTACAATTGACATAATTGGAACACACAAAATTGAATTACTGGGATAGCCAGTAAGTACAGGAAAAAATTTCTCAGTAGCCACTTTCTTGTTAAAGCTACATACCACATCTTCAAGCACATAGTAGTGAAGATAATACAAAAACACGCACTGCGCTAAGCTATTGTCTTTGCTAATGCATGCACAGATTGAAAGTTATTTAATACTTTAAATTTTATACAAATTTTAGTTTAATTAATGTAAACTGTATTTCTACATTACAAAGTTAAAAAATAAAGCAAAAAGCAGGTAATGTCATTTTTAGTTTTGATTTTGTTAATTATTATTTTGAATTAAATTTAATAATTTTAATAATAAGCCAAATCGGGTTTTGAGATGTTTGTATGAGGTATATGTATACAATAGAGCGTCGTTTATCCAAATCAATTGGGGAATGGGATTGTTTGGAACATGTTGCATGTTTGTTGCAATGGTGATAGTACATCCCAGTCACACAAAGCATACACCAGTCTTTTGGAAGTGTTTCTTTTTCGGATATCCAATTATGTATGAAAAAATATATTAACCTATCCCATGTCAAAATTTTTCTCCGTTGCATGTCGCTTCATGTTGAATTTTCATCGATGTTAAGCCTAATGTCAATTTTTATAATAATAATCGTGGCTATTATATCGTTAAAAATTATTTCTTTATTTTGCACAAACAAAATAAATATATTAAAAAACATAAAAACAAAAAAATTATATTTTGGAAGTTAATCTAGTATCAAAAACATTCGATTCAGCATGACACAGTCCAACTGGAATGCTTTCGGTTAACCGACATTTTGGTCGATTGGCTTTCAGATAAATGACGCTCTACTGTATTAATAATTTTATTAAATATTTTGTTAAATAAATTAATTTAATTCAAAAATTTGTCTAATTATTAATAACTACAGGTAACCCCCGTATAACACGGTGCTTTTATAGCACGGGTTCACTCTAACATGGTTCAGGAATTGGGTAAAACCATGGTTAAACATAAAATGTAATAAAGGGTGCATTCTTCTATACATCCGCGTAACTCCACGCAAGCATTCTAATTTTTTTCGTGGCTACTTTGAATGATCTTTCAACAAATAATTCATTTAATGGTTAAATTATACAATTGGGACCCTTATTTTGTCTCTAAAAGCTCATTTTAGAATTATAGATTCCTCCACAGGATACTATCGATAGTGCAAGTGCCACCATCTTTCTTTCACCGTCATTCCTAAATGCCTACAAACAGCAGCGCACTCCCGTTGCAGAGCGACCGCTATTAACGAATGCACCCACAAACTGTTACCAGTTGATGATGCTCATGCTGAGATCATCACATAAAATGAATAATCCTCTGGTAAAATATTTACTTAAATAATAAATATTTTACATGGATCACAATAGTAACAACAATAATAATAATAATAAATCCGATTTAAATAAGGATTTAACAACATGTTTTTTTAAATTTTGGAACCTAACCCCTCTTTTCACATTAGTTCTTTGTTTCGTATAACACGGATTCGCATAACACAGTAATTTTTTGGAACATAACTCCCGTGTTATATGGGAGTTACCTATATATAGTACAAAATAATTTTTTTTAAATAGCAGTCTAACTGCCTACTTTGAAAAATAATTATTGGTACTTATGGGTTAAGTGGACACCAGTCGGAAATAGCGTTTTTTCCGAATAATGCAATTTGTTATTTGTCAACAATTATTTTATATTAATTATTAATAGTTAGCAAAACTGTAAACTAAATAATCTGGAAATTAATATGATTTTTATAGAATATTTAGGCTTAGTTGCTTGTTTCTGTATCTGTAATGATTTATCAACAGAAACAAAACAGGAAAGCAACACTTTAATGTTTGAAATGGCAAAATAAACAGTTAATTACCTATAAATCTTCTAAGACACAACTTTTTTATGCAGAAAACAGTACTTCATAACTGATATTTTCAATCTGATTAAAAAATCATCTTCAGGTTTACAAAAATTCCATCAAATGGTGTAGATTTAATGGTTAACAACACAAGAAAATAGAAAGTAAGTTTTAGGAATGTTGAACATTTCAAATTTAACCAAAATAAAATACAATAAAAACAACATAATTAAATATCAAAAATACATAAAATGAATAAGTAATTATAAATATGAGGTGAGGATAAATAAATAAGTTTCAGTGGTCTGGCATATCTATATCAAATGATTTGTAAAAATGCAGATTACATTCCACGGTAGAAAACATCTGTCATCTGCATGGAATGTTTGTCGCAATGGTGATAGTACATCCCAGTCACACAAAGCATACACCAGTCTTTTGGAAGTGTTTCTTTTTCAAGCATGTCTGCTGTATTGTTGAAAGGAAAATATGGTAGAAATTCAAATGTTAGAGAGCTGGAGCTGGACTAGCAAGAAACTGCAAGCTGTAATTTGGTACAAACGAGTTAGAAGACAATCCAGAAGTGAAATTCACAGGTTGAGATTTACTGATAGGCTGCAATGTCTAAACAGGTGATGTGGAAATGGTGTC